TATATATATATATAATTATAGTTGATAGTATTATTCTACATCAGCTTCTGATGTACAAGGCAGTGGTCAGACATCTACACAATCTGTGAAGTGATTCCCCGCCCCCCCCATGAGTCCAGCTGAACTACTGAAATTTTAAAACAAAAATTTCAATCAACCATCAGAGGAAACGTGAATTCTATCTTTAGAAAAATGATACCAGAAAGAATTATCTCGGTAAAAGGCAAATAAAAGTCTACAGCCAAATAGTTTTTTAAAAAAGCATTATATAATTTATATATATATATATATATATATATATATATATATATATATAGTTTCTGGTATTAGCCCTTTAAAATTCATATTTGTCGAAATAAGTCAGACAGAAAAAGTGGAGAACAATTTGACTTCACTCATATGTGGGATATAAAACTGAAAGCAATGAAGGAACAAGACAAATAAACTAAAACTCATAAGCACAGACAGTTGAGTGGTTACCAGAGGGTATGGAGGGAGGGGTAGGAGAGGGTAAAGGGATCAAATACATGGTGAGGGAAGGAGAAAGAACTGACTCTGGGTGGTGAGCACACAGTGTGATCTATAGATGATGTGTTATAGAAATGCACACTCGAAACATGTAATTTTACTAACCACTGTCACCCCAATACATTTAATTTAACAATTTGTCATGATTTCTTTTCCAGTTCTCAACAAAAATTACTTTTCATCTTATTTTCTTTTCATAGTGTTGTCCTCTTTTCTTAAAGTGGGCGTCCCAAATTATATAAACGTCAGGCTACATGAAATCTGGGTCCACCTGTATGTCATTCAGTATCTTTATTTGAAAGTGACAGAAAGTCTGCTCAACTTAGACAAAAAGAATAACGTATGAAAAATCAAGTATGGCAGGACCCAGTGTCTCAGATTACACTGTGGGGATTCAGTCTCATATTCTCCAGCCCTTTTCTTCCTCTCCCTCTCTTTTCTTTCTTTTCTTCCTCGCCTTCTGTGCTAGTCCATTCTCAGTCTGGCTTCATCTAGTAGCAGCAAGATGGCATCCATGAATGGCAGGCTCGTCCCGTATCCTCACAAGGATTCCAGCCTTTCTGACTGAAGTCCTGTTGCATCTCTGTGCCTTGGACTGGCTAACGAACTCGTCCATGAACAAAGTCAGGGAACCAGAAGTCTCTACTTGGCCAGAATCGGATTATGTACCAATCTCTTGCTGAGCACATGAATAACCTGGAAAGTGAGATTATGCCCTGAAAAAAAAAAAGCAGAAAACTAATGTTAACACAATGAGAAATGGATATGGTTTAGCAGAGGCTATCTATCTCACACACACACACACACACACACACACACACACACACACACACACACACACACACACACACACACACTCTACCTAGGCCCAGGTTAGACCGGGTGGCCTGTGANATAACCTGGAAAGTGAGATTATGCCCTGAAAAAAAAAAAGCAGAAAACTAATGTTAACACAATGAGAAATGGATATGGTTTAGCAGAGGCTATCTCTCTCACACAATCTCACACACACACACACACACACACACACACACACACACACACACACACACACACACTTTCTACCTAGGCCCAGGTTAGACCGGGTGGCCTGTGACCATAAGAAGGCACGTACCTGGCCAAGGGCTGGGAATGAGGGAAAGACAACGGGTTTCTCATCAGAATGTGTCTCTGTACTTTGACCAGATTTTTAAATTATAAAGTGTGGCGTCGTGTCGAAATACAGCTGCTACACCTGGAAAGGAAACGACAGGGCCAAAGATACAGCGTGAGTGTTGTTTGCCATGGAGAAGGAGTCGAGGTTCATTTAGACAGTACATGAGCTTCTGCTGGGGATGCGAGCGGTGCACGCGTGGGCTTCTTGACTACCAAAGGCATTTCTAATCTTTAGTTGCCAAGGCTGCATTTTTATACAGACTTTAAGGGTGAAACATAGAACCCTCTCACAGATTAAAATGCCCCAGTTGACCTGGTTCATGTGAGGAGAACAAGTATTCCAACGTCTACTCTGGTGCTTTGTGTATTCCACTACCCCGAAAGCATTTTGCCATACTTAGGACCTAGGGCATTTCATTTCTGCCTGTACGTGATTGCATACTATAGGGGGAAAGTCTTGCTAGAATGCATCACACCATCGCCCTCGTGTCTTCATAGCGCATGAGTTTTCCCAGTGCATCTCAGTACTCTGCAAACATGAGACCCACCTCACCTTCCAAATAAGCAAGGCTATTGCCCGTGCTAGATCCGTTCCATCGAAGCCCCCGGTGTGAGGAGTGGGCGTTGTATCACGTTAATACTAGAGAGGTGCTGCCTCTGTTGGCTTTACTGTGGTTGAAAAGACGAGCCAGGGCCTTCTGGGAGTTTCCAGGACATGCTTCGTTTCTGTGCTGCAGCCTCTGGTCTGGACAAATGTTTGCACCCTTCATCTGCTTTCGAAGACCTTATTAGAAACGTCTGGAGGTGTCGACATATGGGTTTTAAGGGACTGGAGGAAAGAAAGCACAATATCTGAAGTTTGACCCCGAGAGAGTTTGCAGGTGTCCACAGCTCTGGGGAACAAAATCTCAGGGTTCTGGGAGGGACCAGAAGGTACATGGCCTGAATGCCAGGTGTCACGTCAGAACCTTCTCATCTGCCAGACCATCTAATCCTCCCTCAGCAAGGCCAGAGGCAAGGAATTAGCATCACATTAGGATGAGAAAAGGGGTTTTCTCAAAGATGTGATAACGTACCCCAAATCTCACCTAGCTAACTGGCAGAAGAACTAGGATTTCAACCCAGACCTGTAGGATGCCGACAGCTGCCTCTTACTCAATGCCCTGCCCTCCCCGCCCGCCCGCCTTTCATGACAACTTCTCTTGCGGTCTCCCGTGGGCCATCGGGGGCAGAGGGGGTGGGGGGGAGCCCTGAGTGGCTCTCTTGCTGGCTGGGAACCAGAGCAGCAGCCTTTAGTAGTTCCACAAAATGCATCTGAATAGGGTTTCAGTGATTCAGGTAGAAAAAGGCCAGATGTATTGAGCCCAGGAACATTCAATCCATTCCTTCCTGGGGTTGAGGGGCCTCAACCAAAAAGAAAAAAAAAAGTGGTTTCTCATTCTCTAAGGCTGAGCTTGGAAACTCAGGCCTCCGAGATACAGGAAATAGACAAAGTTTCAAAATACTGACAACACGGAGAGAGCAGGCTCGGCAGTCACCCAGGGTCCAACTCACCCCAAACGGGCACGCTTCCCAGGTCCTGGAGAGACATCTGGAATTGGACATAAATCTCAGGTGAGAGGATCATCAGAGGAGGGGGCATTCATTCAATCACGTGTTCGTTCGTTCAGCCAGCGTTTCTTTTGGCAGATTCGTAAAGGATTGCAGAAAGCAGCCCAATCTCCACCCTCCTGCAAACCAGAAGCTCCCTAAGGCAGGATGGGGGCTAATATCATAGGGCCGAGGAGGAGGGAAACGGGGCAATAGGAGGGTGAGCCTGTCCAGGCAGTCGGGCAGATTGAGGACCTGCTCATGTCAAGGACAATCAAGGGGACAGACGAGCTGTCACGGCCGGGGCCAGGGGCAAGATGGCGGGTGAGGGGCTTGAAGCACAGAGGCCGGAAGGGAGACGCAGCCTGAGCTGGAGACTCTGTGAGGCGCACGGGCCGGCTTCCGAGCCTGTTGCTCATGTAGGACCCACACGATTCTTAGCACCTATGCCACCGAGATCCCCTAAGATCTGAAAACGTTGAGTCAAGGAGAAGAGAGAAAGGGGCAGTGAACCAGGCAGTGCGAGGGCCTCTAGAGGCAGTTCAGGCCTCAGACGATGCCAGGGTGAAATGTAGACGCCCCATCCCGCAGCATGCAAACTGACACCCGGGGTTTGTGTGAAGTCTGTCTGATCTAATCCATACGGGCGATACAGAAAGACGAGCAGGCTTATGGTCGCACAGAGTGAGCCGTGCTGAAAAACCATACCTGCTGAAACGTCCTGAACCCCAGCGGTGCCCACCTAGACCAGCTTTCCTTTGAAAAGTAAAAAAAGAAAAATACAAATACTGTCTCTTTTCTCAAGTGGCTAAATGGAGAGATTTAAAAGCAAACCCAAACTCAGATTTATTTCTAATATTTGCCAGGCCAGATAGAATTACGTTTTACCCATTCATCTTATCCTAGGTTGGAAAGCTGGGAGCATTTTTTTGGGTGTAGGTTACAATTTTAAAATGTCAGCCTGAAAAAAATACGTAAAAATAAAATAAAATGTCAGCCTGTTCCAGGAATTGCAAAAAAAAAAAAAAAAAAAAAAAAAAAAAAAAAAAAAAAAAAAAAAAAAAGAAAGAAAGAAAGAAACAGAGCCCCCATCTTATTACTGTAAATAAATGAATGCCAGCAAATGCCCCTTCAGATTGAGCTAATTGTTTCAAGGCTGCTTCTGCAACTGCCATGTACCCCCCAGGCTGTGTTGTTCAGGTGGAAAGGTGGTGGTGAGTCTTGTGCCCAGAAGACCAAGTTGGAATCTCAGATCCACGGAGCACCTAGAAGTGAGTGAGGTACGTGGTGGGGACACACTAGTTGCCTTCTTTAACTTTCCTTTTGTCTTTTTTGTCGGACCAAGGAGGATGTTCTTTAAAAAAACAAAACGCATTTATTTTTCAGTTACAGTAGACATACAGTATTCTATTACAGTTGTACAACATACTGATTAGACATTTATATGCCTTAAACAAAATGATTCCAATAAATCTATTAAAACTGGCATTATTTGCAGATGATATGATATACATAGAAAACCCCAGAAAATCCACACACACACACAAAACTATTCGTACTACTCAGACACGAATTCAGCGAAGCAGCTGGATGCATAATATTCAGAAATTGGTTGCATTTTTAATACACCCAGAACAATCTACCAGAAAGAGAGTTTAAGCAAGCAATCACATTTACAATTGCATCAAAAAGAGGAAAGTGACTAGGCAGAAATTGAACCAAGGACGAAAAGACCTGTACTCAGAAAATTATCAGACACTGAAGACAGAAATTGAAGAAGATACAAAGAAATGGAAGCACATGCCATGTTCATGGATAGGATTAATTAATATTGTTAAAATGTCCATACTGCCCAAAGCAATCTACAGACTCAATGCAATCCCTATCAAAATACCAGTGGCTTCTCTCACAGAGCTAAAACAAATAATCATAAAATTTATATGGGACCGCAAAAGATCCCAAATAGCCAAAGCAATCTTGAGAGAGAAGAAGAAAGAGGTATCACACTCCACGATATCAAACTACACTACAAGGCTATAGTCAATACAGCATGGTCCTGGCATAAAAACAACAGACACGTAGATCAATGGAACAGAATAGAGAGCCCAGGATAAAACCCACACCTATATGGTCAACTCATCTACGACAAAGGAGGCAAGACCATGCAATGGGGTAAAGACAGTCTCTTCAATAACTGGTGTTAGCGAAACTGGACCGATACATGTAAAAAAATGAAACTAGACCATGTTCTTATACCGTATACAAGAATAAACTCAAAAGGAATTAAAGGCTTAAATATAAGGCCCCAAACCATAAAACTCCTAGAAGTAAACTCTGTGACGTTGCTCTTAGTCATATTTTTTCTGATCTATATATTTGGGCAAAGGAAACAGAAAAAAAGAAAGAAATCGGACTACATCAAACTAATAAGTTTTCCAACAGTGAAGGAAACTCAGTGAACGAAAAGACAGCCTAGCGAAAGGGAGAAGATATTTGCCAGTGATAATATCCCATAAGGGGCTAATATGCAAAGTACATAAGGAACTCACACACACACAAACAATCCAATTAAAAAAAGGGTAGGGACCTGGGTAGACCCTTCTCCAGTAGACATGGGAACCGGTGCCCAACATAAATGGTCACCAGGATGTTGTTAAATATGCCCATTCATCTTTCCGTGGGATACGACGCTTCTCCCCTCCATCTCGCAGCGCGTACTTGGAGCCACTGCCCATGAAAGGGGAACAGAGCGACTTACAGAAGTTGGGCTTCAAGGTTCACGGGGAACCCTGAGCCTCACAGAACACAGCACCGTCAGAAGCCAATGTGCCCGGCACATACTCACAGGCAGTGACGGGACAACAATAGTTACCCTTTCTTCCTGTCCTCTGCCACCTTTCTAAAACCACCGGGGTGGGAGTGGGAATCGGGCACCTTCAACAGGCTGGTGCAGCAGGGACATATCACAGCTCTCTGCTTTCTGTCCCCAGTCTGGCCTGCTTGCTAGGACAACACAGCCGAGTCAACTCCCAAATTGTCCCCAAGGGGTTTTTCTTTCTTCCTCACGTATGATGGCAGGTGGAGGTGGTCAGGGGACGGCTGTTGAGCAGAGAGAGGCGAGGCTGAGTGGAAAGGGCTGACGGGCACGGGAGGACAGAGAGCTGGGATTCAGTCACCTGCTCAGGGACGGCAATCAATTTCAGCTGTAATAATAAAATAATCCAGAGGGGAAGAAAGCAGACATGACAGGAGGGATAAAATGGAAATGAATCCTCATTACCTCACTGAGGAGGGAGCCACAGGGGCCGCCCTGCTCTGTCGCTCGGCAGCGGGGGGCATTCCCTCCCAGGGCTTACCTCGAGGGTCTGAGCTAAGAGGGGAGAAGAGACAGCATGCCCTGGGGTGCTTAGCTGACGAGCAGTGAACTTGACCATGCGATTACTGGGGAGCTCAGAAATGCTCCAAGGTGTACTCTGTCTCCCCAAGCTTCCACCCTCCGGCTTTGGAGAAGAGCTCCTGGGTCCCCCCGACCCAGTAACTTGGGCACGTGGAGCTTTATCTGGACCCCATTTCTCCAGCAGGAGCACACGTCACCCCTAAGAGCAGGCCCTGGAGGGCTGCAGTGAGCACGTGAGATCCGTCGGCCGTGTCTGAGCTGGTGGCGATGGCAGAGGACACGACACGTTGTCACAGGCAACCCAGCAGACTCCTTGGTGCCTCGTAGCCCATACACCTCAGCAGAGTTTAGGGAAACTTGGGTTTTATGTTAGTGCCGGAACCCTAGACGCTTCATTAACGGGTCTGACCCAATGCACTCACTCCTTTTAGCTCTGGGCCAGGTTGTAGCTGTATCGGACTCCTCACCGTTCCTAGAACAGGGCTTGTATTTCACACACACGTTGGCTTGCACTCCCTCTGTCCCCACCTCCGGCCCCTCCGGCCGTTTTCCTGCCTTTCATCATCTGAGTCTTAGCAGTTGGAAATGATTTCTTAACGTTTAGAAATCTCCTTTACAGTTCATCAGATTGTTTTACGCATTTCTTTTAGTTAGTATCTTGGGCCACAGTCACTTGTACAGGTATCCGTGACTGAGCCATAGACCTCAGAGGCATAAATATTTCTGTCTAGTGTGATAACGAACCACTACCCACACTGTCGGTGCTCAATATGGCTTTTGTTGTTTGGTTTTGTGTTTACCGAGTGAACGAGAAGACGAAAGAGGATGGTGACAGCCTTTTCCCGAGAGCCAGTTGCTAGGATTTCGTTCCATCCAAGTCTCCAGCCCCCTGAGGGTCCCTGGAATGTCAGCTGTTGTTGATTCCAGACCCGATGACAGACTCCGCCTGAGGCCTTGCCAGTTCCAGCCCGGGCTTCCTTCCATGGTCTCCTGGATGAAACGTGCTGGCGGGAAGCTTTAGTGTCCTGACACCCATCAGTGTATCTTCAGATGCACAGTGGACTCTGTTTGCATGTAGGTTTCAGCACTGTAACTCCCTCTAGAGCAGGCCTCCCTCCCAGCTGCCCCGACTCCTGGGTGCATTCTTCCTGTGTGCATGGCTTCTCCGCTCCCCACCTCAACGCGTACCCCACCTTTAGTAAGGGCCACCTCCTATGTGAGTCTAGGTCAAGTGTGTCTGGGATGCCATCTCTCCCTTAGGCCGTGTGCAGCGCGGAGTCCAGCAACTGGCAGGATCTCTGGGGATAGAGACATAAGAGTGACAGCTTAGTTTCAGGAGCGGAACTTAGACAAGTGAACAGGGAAAGACCCATTGGCCCGTGTTCACCGGAGCACTTTATAACATGACTTCCCCGACGTGGCTCAGGTCTGACTGTCAGCACTTGGGTTTTCAGGGGACGCCAAGGCCAGACACTGAATGCCACTGAATCATGCACAGAAAATCGCTTTCCTTTCCACTGCCTGTAACCCTCCTGACTATACCAGAGAGAAAGACTCATCCGGGTGCTACTCTTGAACCACCCTGGGACAGTACTGTTACCTTTTCACAAGAAGAGAGTGAGCTTGCGGCCTTGGAGATCGGCACCTATGTGGCCAGAATTTCATAACGATGGCTTGTTTTCATAGAATTGATCGATGGGGGTCACTTTGGGTTTTCAGAAGGTGCTTGGGTTTCCCATGTATGCGCGAATGATGATAACAGCTAAGAGTTCTAGACTATTTAACCCATGCAGGGCACCGTTGTGTTTACCATGGTTGGATCGAATCCCCATGGCAACCCTGTAAGCTGGGTGCTACTATACTATGCATCTTGCAGTTGAGGAAACGAAGGCAGAGAGGTAAAGTAAGTTACCTGACATCACACAGTAAACGGGTGGTGGAGATGGGATCGGAGCCCAGTATAGGCTCTTGTCAGCATTCTCTTACTATTTCTCCTAATGATATAACATGCCTTTGTGGAACAAATCTATTGAAGTAAAAAAAAAAAACAGTTACAACAATTTTGATATTAAGTAAATATTAAATAGTAACAAATAACCCTGAGAGTGGAACATAAATACCAGGAGATCGGGAAGCTAGAGTTATTCACCTATGATTTTCATGGTGTCTCGTTTCTGCCATCAAAAAACCCAGAGAAGGGAGGTGATTATCAGGAGTCTTCATTCACTGGGGATTTAAAATACGTATGTGTGACTACTGTTATTCACAGCCTTACGCTTCTAATAAAGCTCTAGATTCTACCCAACCACTGCCCCGATTTCACTGGTAGACCCTAAATGTTTCTGGCAGGGGGATTTGGATGGAAGCCTAAATGCTGAAGACATACGAAGGTCAGATTGTTTGCAGGACCGCACAAGCGATGGGGCACTTGTCCACTGTTCAGGGAGAGAGCAGCGGGGAGACTCAGCAGCTCGGCAAACGTGTGAGAATATTTTCTTTCATCATTTCAAGAGCTTCCTTTTTATTCTCTCTCATTCCCTTCTAACAAAGTCAGCTACTAAGAATTGATCTAGAATTGTTTCTGTAAATATTGAACAATAAATAAGTATTGTATTTGCTGGGAAAATAGAGAGTCTTCGTCACTCAGGAATTTGGCTTAGTCAGGGGAAAAAGAAAAGTATACGTGTCAATTGGATAGATACAAGTCAGGCCTAGCACTGTAAGTGGTGTACGGCAGGAATTCAGGATTTGCTGGGTGAATGAATGAAGGAGGGAATTTTAAGGCCTGGAGTGTACACTGGGATATAATACCTTCTCATACCCTGTACCTTAGCTCCTCTGTTTGCTGATGCTCGAGAAAGAATGTGTTTTTGATGTCTGCCTGTTTGTCTGTCCCAGAGCCTGGCGCAGAGTGAGTACCTGCTAAAAGGGTATCGAATGCATTTTGGTATGTGCCTAGTTTCCTGGGATGTCTTACTTATAACTCTGGTACCTCATGCATTAGAAACGGGGTGCTCATGTATCCTGCAAAAGTGACTATCTACCTAGCACAGGTAGGAGATAAAATGGCTGAGGTCAGCGAACAAGACATCAGTGGTGCCCTCTAGTTATTCTGCTACTAGCTCTATATGGTTACATTATCCTTTATACCCGTTTACAAATCAGTTTCAGTAAGTTCATAAATTTTGTATTATGTGTCACAAGAATTTGGCCCTGACTTGAAAACACTGGCTGTATTGATTAAAATCCAGGCTTACACTCAAGGCAGTGCTGCATCTATCTTTCTCTGTCTCATAATGACATCCTCAGTTTCATTTTTTTAAATACTTATGAATGGATCACAGATATTTACACCCACCTACATTTGTAACTGCAGAGCAAAATGTAATATTCTGATCTCATCATCTGGGGGAAATAGTCCTGAGACAGGAGGATGAGAAGAGATGAAAGCAAGTCAGAGGGAATTAACCTCCGCGGTGTGTAAGGTTCTCTGCTGGGGCTTTCCATGGGTTGAACCCTATTATACTCCCGACAACTCTAGGAGGCCTGCATAGTTCCTTTTACATGTGAGAAGGCTAGGTTTCAAAAATCAAGGGAAATAATAGATGTTATCCTGTAAAACACAAAAGAGATTCTCATCAGCCCAAGGTTATGCAAAAATGACAGAGCTTAGTAGGATTTAAGACCCGAAAGGAGCCTTAGCTCCAAAGGCCTTCTTCCCACTGAGACGTGAAGACAGCCAGGAGGGGAAAATCAAACTGGCTCAGCTGTCTCTGTAGCAAATGGATTATGAAGAGACCGTCTTCCATAAATAGCCATGGAAATAACTCATTATTGGAGGAACGCATTGCGTCTGTCAAACTCCATCAGCCCGTTATGGTGACAATGGAGGGTCTCAGGATGACCCGAAATGAGGAAGACTCAGGCACATATGTGCTGAGTGCTCAGGGTATAAGTATTTCAGGAAAGGGTAGTTTTTTATGGTTCGGTGACTTTAGTTAGAGATAAAGATGAACTGAAAAGGAAAGCAAGAATTGTGAAGAGAAGAAGACACACACACACACACACACTTTCGTATGTTCCTATGCTTCCTTTTACCCTTAGGAAAAACTACAAACTCCCTTTGCTGTCCATCTGTACTATTCTGTGGCATGTACCCAGCCATGCTGAACAACTGCACTTATGGTTCATCCAGTTTTCTCTCTCTTTTCAAACCGCTTTATCGAGGTCTAACAGACATACAATGAGGTCAGCTTGGTAAACTAGAATTCGTTAAGTTCTGACATATGCACACCCCTGTGAAACCATCATCCCAATCAAGGTAGTGAACTTACAATTCTCAAGAGTTTCCTCCTGCTTGTTTGCATCCCCTCCTGCCTGTATCTCTCCCCACACTGAGCACTCATGAATCTGCTTGTATCACTATACATGAGTCTGAATTTTCTAGAGATTTATGCAAATGAAATCATGTAGTTTATATTTCTTGTCTGGCTCTCACAAACATAATCATAATATGATATAATATGATATATACCCAACATTCCATTGCATTTATTTTTGTTTAAAGTTATCTTTTTAGAAGATTTAATTGAAAAATATCTTCCGCATGTCCCCATGTAGCTACCAGCATTCTCCATTCATTGCACCGGTCCACGCTTTTCATCTATTTCTCTTCTGCCTCAATGAATGAATCCTTTTAACACTTCTGAATGTGGGTCTGTTGGTGTTGAATTCTTTTGGCTTTTGTTATATCTATCTGGAAAAGTCTTCCGTTTTTAAATATATTTCACTAGGTATAAAATTCTAGGTTGGCAGATGTTCTTGTCCAGTACTTGAAAAAATGTTGCTTCGTTCTCTTTTCTCCTGCAGCACTTTTGATGACCAATCAGCTCTCATCCTTATCTTTGTTTCTGTATTTGTAATTTGTCTTTTTTCCCTCTGCCTGCATTGAAGCTCTCTTCTTTCTCACTGCCTTTGAGCAAACTGACTGAGATGCATGTATGATTTTATTTTTCTTCTGTTTCCAGTTTATAGTTTTCATCAAGTTGGAAAAGTCTCACACAATTTTCTTCCAATACCGTCCCCCAGTCTTCTCTCTTTTGGGTACTCTTCTGCACTTGGCCACTGAAAGTTGTCCCACAGTTCGATAACCTTGCTTCTGCAGTGTCTTATCTCTTATCTGCTACTAACCTTATCCAGCGTATTTTTTATCTTATACGTTGTAGCTTTCATCTCTACAAGTTTGGTGATGTGGGGGATACTTATAACTGTTTGTATGTTCATTTTAATATCCGTGGTTCTCCTGCATTAGTTTTGATGGATTATTCTTCTCATTATGGGTCACATTTTCCTACATTATGTTTGTTTTCCCACAATATTCAATTGGATGAAAGACATTGTCAGTTTTAACTTTTTAGGTGCTGGATATTTTTATTCCTATAAGCATGTTTAATTTTTCTTCTAGGATGCAGTTAAGTTACTTAGAAGCAATTTGATGCTGTTAGATCTTGCTTTTAAGATTTATTACGAGACTTCCAGTCAAGATGGCAGAGTATGTAAACTCTCTGCTCACCTTCTCCCCAAATCATATCAAACATCAAAACTACAACTAAATTAGAAAGCAGCCACCACTGAGGACCACCTAAACACTAACTGAACACAAGTCCTATAACTAAGGATATAAAGAAGAAGCCACTTCAAGACTGGTACAAGGGGTAGAGACGCAGAACACGCAGGTCCTATACTCACAGTACGGTGATTTTTAAGAATTGGGAGGGATCTGTTGGCTGCAGCTGTCCCCCGAGAAGTGAGGGGTCCCAGCCACACACTGAGCTCCCCAGCTGTGACACCAGTGCTGAGAAGAGGGGTCCCCATTTGGCTGGGAAAACCAGTGGGGAGTTCATCCAGGAAAGGCTGCGAGAGGCCAAGCCACACTGCTCGTAACGAGTCAGCGCACAGACTCACTCGCCCTGAGCTCCAGCGCAGTGGCAGCAGCTCAAAAAGCACCAGGGACATACGGGGAGGAACCAAATTGACTAACTTCAGGGTGAGGGCTGGAGGGGCAGAGGCTGGGGCACCTCTCTCTGGGGATGGAAGTGCCAATAGGTGCCACTGTTCCTTTGTTAAGCTCTCCTTCCACCCAACTGGCCAGTCAGAGGAAGAGGTGTTCTCGTACGCGCTCCGTTACCCTGGCTAACAGTGTTCACCCTACCCTGGTGATCCCCTGACCCGCCGCACCCAAGTTGAGCACCTAGCCTGAGCCTCTTCACTGGCTCCTTCATACAAGCAGCTGGCCTCGGCCGGTGCTCAATGCTTTCACAAGGACTGCAAATTCCACAAAAGCAGTGGCTGGCCTTGCAGTGCCTTGTCACTCCTGCCAAGAGGTCCCAAGCCCAGCACAAATGGCAACTGGTCTCAACTCACATTGTGATTCCCATCAGTGGGCCCCAAACCTGGCTTAAGTGGCAGCCAGTCTTAGCCTGTAATGTAGCTCCAGCTAAGTGGCCTCATGCCCAGCACAAGTGGCGGCCGGCCTCGGTTCACAGCACAACCTCTCGCGAGAGACTCCAGGCTCGGCGCAAGCAGCAACGCACCCTACAGGGTGGATTTGGCTGGCCCCAGAGCCCCACTAAAGGGGGGCCTCACTCCCCGGGGAGCTCCTTAGAAGAACGACTGCACTAGTGATGGCTGTCGTACTTTTACATAATCACAGAAGTCAGCAAGTCACAGACCCAAGCGTGTCATACATCAGTGACTACAAGCTCTGTCAGCTTGACCCTAATTTGTTCAGTCAGGATGACAAAGGGAATAAGATATAGAGAAAAAACAGTCTGAGAAAGCATCAGATAGCATCAAGATCTCATTTGCATAAAGAACGAAATGCAAAATAATTCCTAATGAGAGTTCCGATAATAAGGGCTGATGTCATCCTGCTGACATCAAGAGGACTTTGCAAGACTGACCAACTCAAGTGATGTGACCCCGAGTGTCAGGGAACTTATAGACCTAAACGGGGATATAAGTCCA